ATAGCTATGATAAAAATATTGAAAAAGAAAAAGAAAAAGATACACAATAATATAAATATATAATATATAAATACAAGTAAAGTATAATAATAAATATAATGTCACTGGATACTAGTAAGATCAATTTTTGAAATATGGTTTCTGGAAGAATTGATCTTACTAGTATCCCGTGACATTATATTTATTATTATACTTTACTTGTATTTATATATCATATATTTATAATATAAGTAGTATAGGCCGCATGGCACGACCCCTTTTTTGGGTGGGCTAGTGGTGGGCACATTAATTATTCATTAAATGTAAGCATAAAACGACGGGTAGGCATTGTTTATTAAATCATTACCATAAAATGAAGAAGAGAGTATTGTTAGGCAAGTTTGGGCAAGTCTTTTGTTTACCAATCCAATTTATAGAGCGCGGGGATTTTGAATTTTTAACTCCAAAACTCAACCAACCAAGCAAGCAAGCAAGACCTAAAAAATTTATCTTTGAGAAACGCAATGGCTACGTTATTCCAGGCAGGCTCTCGAGGATATCACGCTACCGTCAATGAATTCAAAGGACTAATGAAAATAAATCAATGTTTTTTTGAAACAATCTTATGTGTTGATCTAATTCCCTCCTGCTGCTGCTATCAGGCTATCGATAGCTTAGCTTCTTGGCTATCAATAGCTTAGCTAGCTGGCTATTGATAGCTCAGTTATCAGGCTATCGATAGCTTAGCTAGCTGGCTATCAACGGCTTAGCTATCAGGCTATCAATAGCTTAGCTTCTTAGCTATCAGGCTATCAATAACTTAGCTTCTTGGGCTATCAATAGCTATTACCTCCTCCTCCTCTCCTCCTCCTCCTCTGGATGAAATGATAAATTAGAACTATAAGCTATCAAAGTATCCGGCTATCAATAGCTTAGCCAACCGGCTGCACGCTATAAAATTTCATTCACTCATAGTTCTAGCTTATCATTTCATCCAGAGGAAGAGGAGGAGGAGGAGAGGAGGAGGAGGAGGAGGAGGAGGAGGTAATAGCTATTGATAGCCCCAGAAGCTATGCTATTGATATCCTGATAGCCAAGAAGCTAAGCTATTGATAGCCTGATAGCTAAGCTATTGATAGCCAAGAAGCTAAGCTATTGATAGCTTGATAGCCAAGAAGCTAAGCTATTGATAGCTTGATAGCCAAGAAGCTAAGATATTGATAGCTTGATAGCCAAGAAGCTAAGATATTGATAGCCAGCTAGCTAAGCTATTGATAGCCAGGCTATTGATAGCCAAGAAGCTAAGCTATCGATAGCCTGATAGTTAAGCTATCGATAGCCTGATAACTGAGCTATCGATAGCCTGATAGCTAAGCTATCGATAGCCAGATAGGGAAGCTTTCGATAGCCTAATAGCTAAGCTATCGATAGCCTGATAACTAAGCTATCGATAGCCAAGAAGCTAAGCTATTGATAGCCTGATAGCTAAGCTATCGATAACCAGCTAGCTAAGCTATTGATAGCCTGATAGCTAAGCTATCGATAGCCAGCTAGCTAAGCTATTGATAGCCAGCTAGCTAAGCTATTGATAGCCAGGCTATTGATAGCCAAGAAGCTAAGCTATTGATAGCCTTATAGCAGCAGGAGGAGGAGGTAATCTTACATCGACCTCTCATCAACCTCTCGTCGACCCTCAATCATAGAAAAAAATAAACAAAAATAAGATTATTATAAATTCAGTTATTAATTTTGGTATTTCAAATGGTCTTGGCTGTGGAAATAAGAATTGGCCATGGGCTTCCTGTGTTTTTTTTAATAACTAAATCGGATATGGGCTTCCTGTAGATTTGTGCATTCATAAAATTGTTTTGATGCTGTGTCTTATTTATCACGTGCCAAACAATGATTGAAGGAAAGAGATATGACAGCATTAATAAGCTTGAATGCCAAGGGGATTTTTGAATCATTGTACTATGGTCCAATATGAAATAGAACGATCGCTGTTTATATAATAAAGAACAAGATAACAGAACTAATCATTTTAGGAAGAACTTAGTAGGTCTTATTTTTTATCGTTTATGAGTCATTAAGTGCATTGTGTTGGATACAATAGTCATCAAATACTCGAAGTATTTCTTGAGTTTCATGAGGGATATCTTTAGAGTTTGGAAGATTTACGCTTGGTAGATTACTGAACTTGGTGTTTGCTTTTAAAAGAATTATGGAAGGATGTTATCAAGAATTTGCTCAACACATAAGATTGTTTCAAAAAAACACTGATTTTTTTCATTAGTCCACAGGTAGCCCAAGCTTGGTTTCTGTGGTGTCCTGTTATAAGGAAATGTATGGAGATTCATCAAAAATTTCAATAAAATCATTGAAACGTGAAATAAAGCCTCGACATTTTACCCGATCATTGAGAAATAGCACTTCTTTCGCTCTGCGTGGTTATTTTTTGAATTTAGCCCGTTTTAAGATTTTCCCCCTCACCAGTAAGAAATAAGAGAAGGTTGGAAACTCGAGTCCCAAAAGCGAACCATCACGGGTCTTTGAAACCTCGTACGTCTTCGAATTTTCTTTCCAGCGCCAAATTTTAGTCATGACCCTTCTCTCACATCCCTATAGAACCGAGAAAGTCGCATTAGAGATTAGTCTT